AAAAAAAAATCACTGACGTTAACATTGCTGCTACATTCTTCTTATCTGAGCCTGGCAGAATCGCATGTGCAAAGCTTCTCTCCACTGTCATTAGTTCATTCACTTGTGCTGGAAGATAATTTGAAGCAGCTTGAGTGAGATATCCTAGCCATCCACTGGACGACTCCGCAGAGGGTTCCCTGTAGAGCAAATTCAATTACTGAGATGGCGCGAGGCAAGAAAGTGCAAAGCAAGCCAAATTTCCAAACATTCAAATGAAATTCACTGCTTTTTCTCCTGGTCCTCTGGTTTCTCCAACTTGAACACGTGCACTGTCTCTGTGTTACTCGATGAGCACAAATAAGTTGAGTCGGCGGAGAAGGCAAGCGAATAGATCGTAACGCATCTGAAGAATAGGATAAGCTCCCCTAGTTCAATGGTTGCAAAACGAAAGAAAATAACAATTTTAGCATAGCTCTCAATGGTGGTCAAATAACAAAGAAGTAACACGTAAACTACTTGAACAAAGGAGAGCTCACCTTGACATTCCTCGGCGGAACTCAAATAGTCTTGTTCCCTGTGGTACACTGTAAACGCGAATAACTGTACCTTTCGTGCTGGCCGTCGCTATCATGGTACCTATTAGAGCATAACTGAGATTTTGTTAAACATAATGTAGGACGAAAACGATATATGCGTAAGATGTTATCAAATAAACTAGCATTCAAACCTTTAAAAAATTGTTCAAATGCTCACCGTCGGCATTAAATTTCAAACAGGCTAGAGGCCCATCGTGTGCGGTGAAGGTGTTTACAGCTGATAAGTTCATGCAGTCAAAGATATGTACCTAAAAAACGTGCCATAAAACAGTGCAGTGTGAAAGCACTTAGACGGCAAGAATCAACCTATTTTCAAAAGTAAAACCCTTTTTCGTTGTGCAAAATGATACGAACAGATGTTATATTACCCTGTTTGCCTGGGTATAGGACCGCCTTCACATAAGACCGCATGTGCATCTTGCAAAAGACTGATTTCATCTCGCTTGCAATATATTTTTCCTCCTCTTTGCATCTCCAAAAATATCGATTAACAGATGCAAGTCAATAAAGCATAGCAAGATCCTACTAAGAGCATTGCTGATCCACTTTTATTTGGCTTTCCCACGTTTATCTTCCATAATTTAATATTCAATCTTTCCTAAGTGAGGCGTTTAGTCTGTAAAACGGTTTTCCTTCAAAGAAAAATGAGAGCTCCAATACTTATAACCTGGGTTTGTTTGAAAATGTTGTTGGTTGGTCTGACTAAGAAAGCTAATTACATTCTCATTAGCGAGTTTATACATTATCGGCTTGTCACGCGCCGTTCTTAGGCAACCTTACTTTTGTCGGTCTCAAACTCGCGGAAACAGGGTAGCACACTATGGATGTGGAAACCGCTAAACCTTAAAAAAAGAAGAACAGACTGAGAAAAAAGCTTACACTTCCAGCTTCAGCGCTCGCTGGATAGGCAATTAAAGAACTCCCCGCTGGTGAGAGATCAATCAAACCAAGTCGGTTAAGTGGTGTGTCCAAAATCGTATGAAGCAACTGATAAGAAAAATAAAAAAAATTGGTGATTTTCTCTTGTTGAGTTCTACTAAAAATAAAAGAAGAAAACCAAAGAATAAATAAAACATTCAACGCACCTTCATATCTTTCAGCACATAGATATGGATGCTATCCTCTAGACAAACAACAACTCGCTAGAAATCAAATACGATTTAATCAGACTATTTGTGTTAGAAAAAAAAGAAAAACTGCACTCACATCACGGTTCAATTTGACGTTAAGTACGGATTTGATGAATTTGTAAACACAAATCATATTTTTGCTTTTAAAGTGATATATGCAGATAACTCGTGGTTCTTTTTGCGAAACAATGACGACGAGTGACGAGTTGAACAGCCTTTCAACAATAATTGCATCGTGTATAGCTGAAAGAAACTATCTCGGGACAGCAGAGCGGATTAAAGGAGACAAGTAATTACAGTGATTTGGTAAGTATGAAGATATAACATAATGACCGCAAATCTATAAGATGAACTCGTTTTTCCCCAAGATAAAACACCACTGCGAAAATAATGAGAGAAAAACTGGAAACTCTGTCAAGCGAAAAGGCATTGAGCTTTTCAGCTACATTTTAAAGAACACGAGAGCTGTTATGGAAAGGCAGTTCGCCTACAAAAAGCAGTAAAGTTAGATAACGAAAGTTGAGTCACTATTTCAAAGTCGACTGTTTGAATAGACCTATTATTCCTCAGCAAAGCTCACCCACATACAACCTATGATATGAGAACTGAATTTTCAGATTAAATTTTTATTCTTGGAAAAAAAGAAATACCGGGAGAGGAATCAGCATTGTCGACTAGAATCGAAGATTCTAACACATCCGTGGTCCTGTACAAAATATATCCATTGGAATGCCCCACAGCCAGCGATCTAAATTATATGATAGGCAGAGGAGTGTAGTGCAGCCAAAAGGATAGCCTTCTTTTAGTTCCTCTTCAACAAGAATACGATATTAGAATAACAAATAAAAGATTGAAGATGAGCGAATTTTTCTATATGCAACTCCAATTTTCAAATACTTCTAAACATTTACAACACATAAGCTCTTCTTGAAGCAATCTCAGTTTCGGTTTAGCTAATCTTTCATGATAGGAAAGATTTCGGTTCAATTACCAACGTTATCGAAGTAATCGTTCGATGCAAAAAGTAGGAAAAAAGTATCTATAAAACAGACGTCCTTTTAATTTGTGCACAGCCTCTTAGCGAAGCTATCGAAACTCTTTCCAAAACGAAATTTAGCATGGACCCTTTAAAGCAAACTGCTATAAGTAGTAAATCCACGCAAACTTAGGAAGTTCTCGCAAGGAGAACATTACCTAAGCAAGCTGATGGTTTTCCTTAATAAAAACATTTTGTAATACATCAAAGCTATAACGAGAACAGCGCAACTCTTCTGACTTGACATTTGGGCCTATCAAATGTCATATATTCGATGATGAGTTTATTCTGATAGACAAAGAAACTTTCACTATGGCAATTCACCGTCAGTCATTATTCATAGCGCTGAACTCCTTATGGAGAAGAAATATTTCGAAATAAGTGTATAGATAAATAATTCCCTTACCTTAATATCAAAAAATTATCTAAAAAACGAAAAAATAATAATCTGTTGATAATTATCCAGAAAAAACCAACATACTTAGCATCTTGATTAAAATTTACGCATAGAAGGTGGGCCACGTCCTCCCCAGTCATGAAGTAGAGTTATCTGAAAAGTCAATCCTTACAAAATCAATAGGGAAGAAGAACTTGCTTTCTACTCAGGTAGTAAAAAAAAGCCTTCGGATCGACGAGAGCAGCTTCTTCTCCAAGCAGATAAAAAAATGTTTTCCGAGCCAAGAAGAGCATTTTAAACAAGGGGTATAGTATTTCAACATCATAGAACTGGAAAAGCACGCACTGGAACGACCCGCCATAATCAGCTGATCATGCATGCACGTAACTCGTCCTTGCCGTGCTAGCCAGTGCGATATCGCGTGCATTGCACTTAGCAATTGATTTCCTCTCTCAAGGCCAGCGTTATGTCTGACTCGTCCAAAAGTGCAGTAAAAGAGGAGAAGTATAAGCTGATGATGAGAAGGAAGTTGGGAGACGGATGTGCAAAGTTTTGCACTTGAAGTCAGCTTATAAAAACTTGGAGTTAGTGTGTATTAGTATTTAGATCTTCAAAATACATCACAGATAGGAATCCAATATAATTGTAAAGCGCGAGCGTTGTTTTTCCCTAAGGTAGTACAGTAAATATATCGAGGCGAAAATCTTGTTCCTCTTCTTGATTGTACAAAATGCGGCGTCGAACAGGGCACTTTTCGATCACTGCTTGGGCAATTTAAATGTTAGCTATCTGTTTTTTTCCTCATATATTTCTTGTTCCTCTTTTCGGAGTGGAAGTTTTGGGAACACTGCAGCGTAGGCAACTACTTATACTTCCTTAGTAACTTTCTGATCACTGCTGGAACTTGATGATAGGAAATTTACCGTATAAGCAAATTATTGTTTGACTGTACTTACGTACTTAGATACTTAAATACTTAGATGGCCTGTCTTCACTTGTCGCGCAGACCACAGCACTGTTCCCAACCGTTTCTGTCTCTAGCGCCATCCACGATGTTGGTATTGAACTGCGGCGGCGACGTTTGCGAGGTCCAGATCCATTACTCGTTACCAGC